ATAATTGCAGCTGTAACAGGAATATGTATCAGCAACGTTTATAAATAAAGATTGCAGAGTTTTATTTGGAGATATTTTCATTGTGCCTTTCTTGGGTTCTGCCTTGGGATATTTGATAGCAATGTGGAGCCGGGGTGGGAAAAATTTGGTTGCATTTGACTGGAATGATGTGCCCGTGGGCAGGGAATTTGACGGCAAATTTTGAAAATGTCAAATCCCCATGCCCTGCCCTCCCCGGCTTTACATTGATGGGTGCATTATCACTGGATTGGACTGTGACAGTAAGAATATTGTCCTCACTAGAGTTCTTTTACTGGAGAAAATCTAGCCAAAGCTTGTTGAGAATGGTAGAACTAGTTAATTTTCACAGAAACTCACAATACCACGACGGAAATGAGAGGATGAAAGGGGGCGTATACAGAACATGGACCCCTGGTCCATGGACGGACCGCTTCTATGAACCTAGCCCATGGACCTTGTAAATACCTTGTAAATATCATATTATCCACTCCCTCAGGGCTTTTCGGGGATAATTTACAACACTGGTTGGGGGACTTTGCCAGACTGCTTACAGTGCTGTTTACAAGTAATGACGGAATGAGTAATGATGCCCCCATACATGAGTGTGAAAGTGAGATAGACCACTACACCGGGCACTACGTGCCCTGCTCTTTACAAAGAGTGTGTGGGTTCTTTAATGTCCCACAGATATTTTTATTACATGTGCAAGGGCTTGTGAGAAGGGCCCTACGGTTTATCGTCCTTATCCTAGAAGACTAGAAAGTCAAACCGTTAGCAGATGTTATTACAAAGGCAGCACTTTCTTCTCAGTTATTTAAAGACCCTGAGTGTTGGTCCGGCCGGGGTTTGAACCCGCGACCTCCCGCTCAGCAGACCGGCGCTCTCCCAACTGAGCTAACCAGGCGGACCCTTCGTGGACCCGTTCCATGAACTACCCCTGTGGACCACCTCTAATTTTCGAAGATGGATTTTTACCAGAGGTCTAAACAAAATTTTAGGAACCTTAAATGCACGAACCTGTGGCCAATTTTTTTTTTATGACGCTTATGGGCTCCTCATATTTTCCACCTGTTCAAATTCTGTCTGCAATTCCATACCAATGTAATGGGTTCGTTTTAGTCTCATGAAGAAGTAACCATATTTGAAGGGAACAGGAGGAGTGGTAGGAAGTATTCTCCCGCACAGCTCTTTTTTTTGTCTTCGTATTGCGTGAAAATTGAAACCAAAACGGCTACGTATAAGACTACGGAGAAAGCTTAATGTCAATGTGTTTGTACGACAACAATCTCAACTTGAATAAATGGCAATTTACATGGACCAACCTGTAAGTGTCCGCAACCTTGTAAGACGTCTGACCAACCACATTGTTTGGCAATATACAGATCCTGATTTTGTGCTTGATTCGTGAGCAGGATTCAGTAAGTTTGCCAACCAGTAAACATTTCCAAGGGCTTTGAGGGAAGGGAAGTCTGGAGTGGGTACTCAATCATCATGCAGTACCTCTTCCTCACTACATGTAGTCTCCTACGCAGCCATTGTGTTCTGTCTATCATCACGCAACGAAACGGCACACACAAAAAAGCTGCGTCAGTGAATACTTCCTCCCTACCTCTCCTCATGTCCCCTCCAAATATTGTTTCTCGTTTCTGACTAAACTGAACCCATGTATGGAATGTATGAAAAAAATTGAGCTAGAGTATAACGACTTTTATTTAAAGAAACTCATTGTTAATGTAAGGCTGAATTACAAAGGTAATTAAAATCGTAAAATAATATAGCTACTTACAATTGCAAAATAATATTACAAAAATAGATAATAAATCCTTTAATTGTGATAATACAAATTGACACATTTTCTACAAATTAAGGTTCCTAAAATTCGTTTAGACCTCTGGAAAAGCTCATCTTCAAAAATTAGGGGTGGTCCACGGGGGTAGTCCATGGACCGGATCCACGAAGAGGTCCTTGGACTAAGTCCACAGAGGTGGTCCATATTTTGTAAACGTCCATGAAAAAGTGGCTTTTAATGGATTCAAGCTCCAGACAGTTATGACAAACCACCCACATTACTGATAATGGCTGTAATCTTAAGGCAATTGCGGTCTGAAATTTCACATTGAACTGCCATACTACGTGTGATCTTAACTCAAACATGGTTCAATCTAAGTAGCAATTTTCTGGGCGCTAATGGACAAGCCACTGATAAAACTGCAGGAGAAGTAACTCACCGTTACAAAGTGAGATACAAAAATAGAAAAAATTTAATGCACCGGTGTCGTTTAGTACGCGGGTTATAAATGCTAGAGTCAAGAAAATGCGGTATACTTTTAGATTAGAAAACAAACAAACTAAAACAAAACCGAAAAACCATTGACAGTAAAGACATAACAACAACAAGAAACCTTAACTTTTATGTTATTCGTAGATAACTGGCAAGCCAGACGTTCTTACAAACGAACACTATGTATCTGAATTAAAAAAAATATAGTTTACACAACAGTCACTTTGAGCCTATTTTTTCCTATTTAACAAAATAATGCACCTTAAGAGAGGAAGGAAAACGGAATTTGAGGTTTTAACATTATATTCTGTTAAAGGGAACCTCGACTGTGGTAAAAATTTGACTTTAACTTACAACTGTATAAATGGATACTTAATTTCAACTCTTTTTTTTTTCGATAAAGGGAATGGAGAATTTTAAAATTGGATTTTTGGTATGCAACAGCGGCCGGAACCAAAATGCAACGACGGGCAAAGAAATGCACGTGCAACATTATTGATTTGCTTGTTTAACTTATTATGTTTTTTTGCCGTTCTCGTTGCCGTCGCCGTTGTCGTTACTTAAGCTCTCCAATGGCCAGAGCAAACTGTGTTAAAAAATTACAAAATCATGTGTCGCGCGGGAAATTTTATAGCAAAAACAGGCGATTTTTTCCTTATGGTATTTACTTTAACTACTGGAAGTTCCATCTTCTTTAGAACAGAGTTCCGGTCACATTGATATAACAGTGGAGGTCCCCTTTTAACCCTCTCATTCACAAATGTGGCAAAAGTAAATATTCCACAAAATTTCTTTTTGGAAAAGATGAAGAGCAAAAGGTTTCATATGAAAGTACTCAGTCAAAGAGTTTTCATTTCAATTATTTGAATGGTCACACCGCTGAATTTGGTCGATATATTCAAAAGTTAGAATGACCTTTAATACTGTACAAGACTTCATCATTCACTCAGGGAGACAGAGGGTAAAGACGAGTAGCAATCATTCTACGGCGCCAACGTTCTAGGTCGTTTCGCAAACGCTTTATCGAATGGTGTCTTTTTCAAATCGGATATAGAACGTTAGAGAAATGACCCAAGACGTTAACGAAACGCTCGGGCTCACGCAGTCCTTTGAGGAGCACGTAACCACCCTGTACGAAAATGTCAAAGAATAAACTGTCAAATTGATTGCACGTCGTAAAATCAAAGTAAATAAAGTAAGGTTAAAACGCTCTACAAAATCTCAAAACTACTTTAATTTTAGACTAGCGGATTGTTGCTTTACGATTTTTACCTTTCTGGCAAGGCCATAATCAAACTCAGACTATTATTCAGAAATGCAACTCAATTTTGAGCTAACAAACTATGAACTCGTTCTCTAATTTCATGAGTCATCTTTTCTCAGTTGCAATTCTAACGCACACTGTCACAGATAGGCAAATAAAGTCAGCTATGGGCTATCACATTTTACGTTCACTTACGATTTATTTATTTATTTTAATATTTTTTAAGAAATAAAATTATCATTACGAGACAGTTTAAGTCAAAGGGCAACGGATCTGGAAATGCAAGTCGTTATGCAGAGATTCATTTTAATGGCGAAGCCTCCATTGCTATAGAAATTGGAAATCTATTGATGCGAGAAAATTTGGATAAGACGTCACCGCACGCCCTTCCGCCCGTACAGACTGTCAGGAAGGGACAGAGTAGATCGCGGGAAAGGGATGATGGAAACCAAGACAACAGCTTGCGTTTGTCTTGGCAAAAAGTTAACCTGTTCACCTAAGGGGAGCCACTGGAGTATGTTCCAGTCAAAATCTTGAAGCTTTTTTTCTTAATTTGAAGTTCTATTTTTAAGGCTTTGCTTTTAGCTTGGTCACGCTCCAAGATCAATCTAGTCTCAGACTGGCCAAAGTTTTGACACACGGAAACACTTATGCAGCACCTTGAAGTTTCATCACCGACAACTGAAACTTTGTGTGATTTTCAGTTTTAAACTGAATATTTTTGTCTTTTGAATGCCGTCACACCATGAAACACAGCTGCTATCAAGACTCTTTTGTTGTTCAAAGCTAGTTTGATGCCTTTGTTTATTTATTTATTTATTTGTTTTTTTGAGGAAAGCGTCACATAAACAGAATTCACAGATGGCGGTGTTTTTGAACGTTCATACAGGCATTTAAAGCAAAGGGCGTTTCTGACCTCATTTGCTGCCTTTCAGGAGCTGCTCATCAGGTGAGGTTGATCACTATTAAAATGTTTTTCTGTCTGGTTTGAGTTGTGTATGATGTGGGGTGTAATTAAGTATATCAGTTTACACTTAACATTATAGTTGCCTGGTTTTCACTTTGTAACCATTTACTAAACTAATTCTAGTAATAGCATCTGAAATATCCCTATGCAGTAATCGATTCGCAGCATTTGTGACCTGTATTTGCCGTTTACCTAGTGTTCTTTACGAACGATTTATGATTTCATTTCTTGTGGTAGTAGAGCTCTTAAGTCTCATTTGCTTTCATCATCAACTTCTTTCCTTACAATATGTATGATTTGCCCAAAAAGCCTATGTACTCTACCGATTGACTTTGATCATTGTTTTCTATCCTGCGATATGAACTACTTCAATTATAAAACTAACTGGTTAGCCTGTGTATTTCAAAGCTCACAGGTGACGTTATGGTTCTCTCACGACTTCATGTTGGGATACGCGATGTTTAACCTTATTGATCAGCCCCTGAATTTTCTGATTCATCTCCATCGCTGTCTTCGCTGATGTCAGAAGGACACATAAAATCCATCTCTTCCACTACTTTTGAAGTGTCCGTGTTCTCACCAATCTGTTCAGCAATGGGGCAAACTGCTCCAGTGAGGGTTAACACATTGTGCTCTTTCCTCATTCGTTCCAGTTGAAACCGCTCTAATGACAACATCTCGGATTTTAATCCCTTCAGATTAATTTGAAAGAATCCCCCAAATGAAGTACAACCAACTACTTTGTTCTCTTTTGGGGACACAGTCATGAAAGAAATGTTGTCACCCTCCAGTGGAATTTTAATAAACGAAATGGCTCTCCGCTCAAGTAAGTCCCACAAGAACACAGCACCATCAATACCATATGATATGATGTAGCGATTCCCATTCAAAAACCGACAAAACTCGATTTTGCCTAAATGGGCACGAGGTAGCTCGTTCAAATAGGGCTGATTGGTAGGATTGTTAAGCGAGTAGAGTAGGATTCGATCCACAACGCAACAAGCCAGTAGATCATTGTTCGGTGAAACGGTACAAAAGGTAATCTTGTCATTCTCGTTGTAAAGCACATCGAGAGCTAGTCTTTTTAATAAATGACATGGACTTGCTGCCTGATCCCATATCTCAATATAGAGCTCAGTGCACAACACTATTTTGTTATCAACTGTAAAACAGCAGCAGAAATTCTCAGAAAGAAGCCCTGGTGGGTCAAATGACTGTGGTTCTACTTTCTTCCTTACGTCCCAAACAAACGCGAAGGGCCAATTCCTGTCCCGTAGGATACAAAAAAGAAGTAAGGCATTGTCAGCTGAGAATATAAGCTCAACGACTTTAAATTCGTAGTCAGCTTCAAAAACGGAACATACAAACTGACAACCGTCTTGTCCGATTGTATCGTGCAACGTTATCATGCTGCCATGGTGAGCGGCAATTAGCTTTCCGTCCGAAGAAAATGCGCATTTCTCCACTTGCCAAGTGCCAAGAGAACCTGAGAAACCTTGAAAAAAAATAAAGTGTCAGTACATCGATCACCAGCTCCTTGAAACAACGCAACTGATGAGTCCACATAAAGAACCAGGAAAGTGTCATCTGAAACAAAGTTTGCTTGCATTGGTTTCTCGATGATGGAATAAGAAAATGTTTCAAAAAATCACAAGGGAAGTTTCGCAAAAGCAAAGTTTTACCCTCGTCATCGGCCTGAAAATGATAGCCAGCTTGCCCTTCAGAACTGAAGAATAACGGGCTAACTCCTGAGACGCTTTGCAGAATGGTTCCCGATTGGAGGGAGAAAGCGTGAAGTGTGTTGTGAACACTTAAGTACAAGAAAAATGAGTGGTCATTTGTGAAACCGAATTGGGCGACCTCCTTGATGACGTATTCTGGGTTGTTGGAATGTTGCTGCTGATATGGATGTAGTACACGAAACAAGTAGACCACATCTTTAACAAACGGTTTGGCCACCCATATCACTCCTGGTGGTGATAAGCAAGGTATACTGTCAGAGAAAAACACTTTTCTGCCTTCATCAGGAGATTTTCCAGTTCGGACGCTGTTATAGGTGAAACTGTCGACAAGAGTGAAGCCCTTTCTATTGCTTCGTAAGTGTCATCGTTGGATAAGTCGGTAAATGTATAAGTCGATGAGGCTAACTCTTTCTCTCTTACCTCTTCAAGAGTGTCATCGTCAGATAAGACGGGCGTGTCCAATAACCTTATGTGGTGGTGGAAGCTGTCTAGAACAGCAGTGGTGGTGCCTGTCTGGAGACAGAGGGCACATAGACGGAACTCATGAGGAGTCACATAAAGAACTACATCCTCCTCCACGGGAGCATAACTTTTGATGTCTTTAATGACAAGTTTCACCTTCTGGTTAACGACGCTACCTTTATCCACCACAAAGCTAACTCTTCCATCAGGACCAGGCGGATACCATTTCAATGACTTAAGTGGAGACCTGGACAGAAAAAAATTGAGTTCTAGTTCTTGCAATATACTTGAACGGAAAAGAAGGTGATGACAAATAGTGCTTAGTAAAGCAATATTGGAGAGTGACAAAGCTTTACCCGTGCTGGTAAAAATTGTGCCACATATCTCAAATGCTGTGCCTAGGTGACAAAAATGAATAAAGGGGCCCACCTCAACACCGGAAGATGAGGATAGATTAAGCACAGGTTTACCCGTTTGCATATCCAAAACTTGATATTTAAATATCTCAGAGTAGTGGTCAATAACAAACTCACGAACGTCTTCCAAGGTTAATGCTTCATAGTCTTTTGCAGTTTTGCAGCTCTGACAACTTGAAACCAGAAACGTTCCGTCTCCTCTAGTAAGTTGTACCTTTTGTAAAAGTGAACACCATTCTTCTTGCTTCATTTCGCTGAGGAGATCTAACAATGGCCTCATGGCTGTAATGCGCGAACCTTGATAGGCTGCAAATTGGGGGTATTTTCTTGTCACTTTCAGCTTGTCAGGAAAACATCGACATAAGGGTTCTCTTTCCCGGCTCTGTGCAATTTCCAATTTGGCCCACAAACAAAGGTGATTTAAAAGGCACAACCAGCAAGTGGGAGTAAGTAAACTCTTACACTTCACCACGATGTGTTGTCGATCAAGGGCAAACGAAAACCATTCAGATGAAAGATGAACTGTCTGTAATGGGAAATATGTTTCAATAATTCTTCGCTTTACTGAGAACGCTCTATCAAATTTTCCAAAGAAGACAAAATTACCACAGGAAGAAAATGCCAGATGTTTTACGTCTGCCAATTCTTCTATTTCGACTAGGAGAAGCAACCTTTCAAGGGAGCATGAATTGTACAACGAGATGCATCCGTATTTGACTTCGGCTAAAAACTTCCCATCAGGAGAAAAAGCAAAGCAACTCGTGACCTTGTTACGAGTGGCTTTAGGAGCAGGGAAAGGGAGCCAGCTCCACTCCATCCAAGTGGTGGACACTCCATCGGGAATTGTCATGTTTAATTTGACAGCTTTGGACATCATTTGCAGGCAGGAAGGAAGAAGATGTGGACATTCCAGAAGAGTATGGGTATTTCTTTCCAGCCCTCTGCAAACTCCTTGCAGAATTTCCTTTTCAGTATCATCAAGAGTCTGTGAGCGAGCAGAAAGCTTGAGATCACCAATAACAGAATAAACGCCAATCCGGCTTTTCTGTATTCTCTGCTGGATAAAATGGTAGCTGGACATGCAGTTGTAAACGATCTTCATCGAACATGCGTCATCGTAACCACACAAAACACGAACGCCAACATGCAAGACATAGTCCAGAAAATCTTTTTCGACAGACGGATGTTTCTTCGCGGATGAGAAGTCCATTACAGAGGGAAGAAATTCCAGAACAATATTTTTTAAGCACTCCCCTGCTTTGGTGGTGTCGACAAAAAATCGTCGAGCTTTGTTCCTGTCGGTCAGCCAGGATGGGATTAAGTTGTGAAGAAAGGCAAAGGTCAGATCAGAAGCTCGGAGTACCAAAAATATTGAAACGGTGTCAATAACTTCTTGTTCGTCCAGGTTTGATTTTTCCCTCTTTACAAGGAATGAAATAAATGACCGCGGAAGAGGAGAAGGAGAAGCTGCAACACAACCGAACAAAGTTCTGAAGAGATCTGCTCCCACTTTATCAAAAATCCGCTTGAAATTGACATAAAAAAAATCATCAATATCCCCTGGAAAAAGTTCAGTCAGTTCACCAATGTTACCTGAACATGCTAAATTATTTAACACTTCTACCATGTAGAACGCGTACAAGAACAACCCATTGCACTTCTCTGTTACTATTTCAACTGTGCATGGGAGACAGGAAAAATCGACTCTTTTCTCCAAAAATTGCTTTATGTCCTGCTCGTGCTGCTGATAAACATTAAGATGTTTGCCGTACCCAGCGCATATTTTAACGCAAGGGTTATAATTTTTCAGAGTGAACTGCACGGTATCCTCAGGGCGGCTGGTAATAAAAAACAAAAGCCACTTTGGAAGCCGGGGAAAACGGTGCATAACCAGATCAAGAAAATCGTCCCTGGACTTGTACTCTGTCTCATCTAGAGCGTCAATAATGACTAATTTTCTTTGTTCACAAGGCGCGCACTTACCTAAAGGTTCTTGTAACAGTTTCGTAAACAACCCACCAATACTTAACTTACTATTGGCTAATGTCATTCTTACACCACCCTCCCCTCCCACTATATTACTGTATTGAACACTACATTTACAAAGTTGGCAAGCTATAGTACCTAAAAGACATCTGGGATCATTTCTTGTCTCGTCATTGTGACGACAAAAGAAAGCAGCGCCTAAGTACCCAGCATCCAGTGCCCGCTTTGCCAGGGCTCCTGCTATTACACTTTTGCCAACTCCCGCATCACCCAGGAGAACATAAGCTCTGGAGTCACCAGGAGCATGGAACCACTTGTTAATATCTCCAAAGAGCCACTCTCTCGTTTCTGGATCGTGTCGCTCGCTGAAAAAGGCGATATCGGCTTCAAAATTGGAAATTTCTAAGGGGGGAAATAGGAAGAAAAACAAAGTGCTTAGACGAAGAAAGCTAAATTACATTTCAGTGATCCACATTTCCTTACTTGAGTAAAAACCTTTTCTATTAGACTTCCAATTTTTCTTAGGAACAAGAAAAAGGAACAGCGTTTACGTTAACAGCTTGGTCTTTACTGTAAATCCATTATAACACATGAATTACACAGAGACTGAACTTTACTATGTTGTCTTTTTCGCGATCCGAATGAATATAACGTGACAATGACGTCACAATTGTTTTTGCTCCTCATTGAATTTCAGTCCTAAGTCGTATTTCCCCTGGGAATGCACTACGCTACGTATACTTTGGGTGCCTGTCTTCTGCTTTGCGAAGTTTCGCACAAATCTATATTTTAGGAATCAGTAAAGATACTGTAGGCTACTTACTAGATTTCTGGACCGATTTTACAACTTATTCGTTAAAAAAATGTCTCTTTAACATTCACCAAACCACTCGAGAGAGCTACACATGCGCGATTTCGAATAACAAAATGTATATCTAGCCGGATTTTTGAAAACGTTACCGCCAAATGGACCTTTTTGTGTCCAACGGTTTTTATCTGGCAAAAAACCACAGCAGCCATTATAAAAACTAAGAGTGCAACCACTGCTTTTTTCTCTTCTTCTTCTTTCTTCCTCGTCGCTCTTTCTTTTTCCTTTGTTAGTATTGTGATCACGTTTGCAGCTTATCAAGCCCCCAAAACCTGCCTTTTGACGCCATTTCACACAAATGACTGCAATTTTCGATAGGTTGGTTTTCAAAACATCGGCTAGATATTCATCACGGTAATGTACAATACTGAGCTCTTTTTGCAATTTGTAAGGCGACTTTTACGAAAAGAAGTGATAATATCAAAATTCGTAGATAGATTTACTTCTATTAAAATTTTCAGAACTACAATTGATCAGTGTAACAGGCTACAAAATCGCTGAATTTCATTGCTGTCCATTGAAAGTTGTCTATAACGTTTGGACAAAATTTGAATAAAAGTTGAAGTTATGGATAATTTTACGCGTTTTAGTCATTCAATGGGCAGATCGCGTCATCAACTTGATTTATTGCGAATATTAATTTTGGAAATTCGCTTATTATAAAGTTCTCTTTTAAACGAAAAATTTAAAGCTTTAAATGTAGGTTTGCAATCATCACCTTTGGTATTTTGCATACGCTTTCCAATATCATTGAAACACCACGGGATTAAACAAAATTAAACAGAAGCTAAAGTTTGAAAGATAATAAGAATAATCGTATTTACCAAAGCTGACTTGAGGAAGAGAAGATCTAAGTTGCTCTTCCACTTGTGTTACTCGTTGTTTTACAAAATCATGGTCTGACTTTAGAGACTTGAACTTTCCTCCCATAGCTCTCTGCTCATCTTCAAAGCTTTTCATGTTGCGTTTTAATCCTTTATTTTCCTTCTCAACAACTGAAACGCGTTTTTCCAGTTCCTTCACGTCACCAGCAACATCTTCCAGTGCATTCTTTACTGTCTCCCTGTCGCAATCCACTGCAAACACCATCTTGTCGACATCAGCTATCAGCTTATGAACATGCTGTTGTACCATCTGTAATAATACTGCGTCCACAGAAGGATTCATACAAAGTGACGGTCCTTGGCAAACAAGAAAAAGTAGAAGTTTAACTACATTACGATTCATTACTATCTCAACACTGAATTATACTGCACGTAATGTCTGCCATTGTTTTCATTGAGAAGCTTTAATTTAATTCAAACTGCAGATTTAGGCTGTCGCCACGAAAAGCTATCCGATAAAAGTGACAACAGCAACGACCCAGGGCGGCACAAGTCGTTCACACACATCGAATATCGTGCCAGCCGGGGCGGTTGGCCGAGACGGTTTGATGCACTAAATTCCAAGTCCTCCCTCGTGAATATTTACTTCCTTCTCAGTGGGTTCCAGGCCTCGCTCCCATTTATGTATTTCTACCACGGGCCGAACAGGTGTTCACACTGCAACAAACAATAGTATTAAGAGATCGGCGCGGCGCAGCTTCGCTTCGTTACAGAAATAGCGCCGAAATCACTGTTCTTATGTGTGAACAGAAGCTGCTATCGGGTATGGTTTTCGTACCGGCGCAAAAGTTATCCAGTATAGTGGACACAGCCCTAGTAGAAATTCGCAACGACCACGACGACGACGACGACAACGTAGGCGACGGCAACGACAACGTCAGATTAGCAAAACAACAATTCTGCACGTGCAGCACACGTTTTTGGTACATTTCTTTGCCGTCACTGTACGACCACGACGTGAATTTTCCTTATTCGATTTGTTATGGAGGTCGTAAACACACGACGGCGAGTTTTCGTTTCCTTTTCAAAACCTGAGTGACTAAAGTGACATTTTTGATGCCGTCGCCTTCGCCGATGCTGAAGTTCACTATGTGTTTACTACGGGTTATTTAAGTATCTCCTGTCAAACAATTTGAATACAGTGAAAAGTGGCAGCACATTTTGGTTTACATGTGTAGATAAAATGAGTTAAAAGTCACTTATAATTGTGCTGTACTTTTTGCTTCCGAATTTCTGTACGGGTTTTGCTTGGAAAGAGTTGATGTTCCAGTGACTGTTATGTTACAATATTTTGCGCCTTTGATAGCAAGATAATAATATCGTTTGCTTAAAATAGCTGATGTCTTGTCACCTTAGCCAAAAAAACAAACAAAAAAAAAACAAATGACCGATTAATCCATTCGCCCCTAAACCGCCCGTGCGGATCCACGCCCCTTCTATCACTTGTGACGTCATCAGTTTTAACGATCAAGGAAAACTTTGTCATCTGACTAGTGTATGGGGAGAAGATCTTTCAAACCAGAGCAGAATGAGCATGATTCAGTGGAGAAGACCGGAAAAAAGGGCAAAAAAAACCAAACATTCCCTTGAAATCTTGCTCCACTACCCACCTACACTCCCTTCCCTCTAAAGCTAAGATCCTTAAAGCTTTCCTAAAAACTTTTCCCACCACAATGAAGCCTAGTGGGGATGAAGCCAAGTAGGGATGTTCCCACGGATATTGCAGGCTTTTATTGAGATTATGTCTGTTAGTACCTGTTTTCTCCCAGGTGTTGAGATCTGCTAAGAGTTTTGTTTCATCTGCAGCTGGCAGACCCAGAGCATTCACCAACCTTTTCATGTCTTGAAAACACTGCTGAAACTTTGCAGGATCCCAGTCTTGGAACGCACAGTGAGCCCAGGTGTTTCTATCTTGCCGAACATCATGTGCAGCACTCTGCGCAGCAAGAGAAAACACTGGAACTCTAACAAGCAAGTTAAGCACAGCAGAGGCATCACAGTGTTCATCAAACACTGTGAACTTGGCCATATAGTTCTCTAAGTACAGCTTTGCATAGTCCACATGTGACATTATGCGGCAGTCAAATGCAGCATAATTAAACTTCCCATGAAGCTTGGGTACAGCATCATTGCCATTAATGTTTTCATACTTCAGAAAAGTGGAACTCCATTTCTTCAGTCGACCAGATGAGCTCTGAGAATCAATGCCATGACTGGTTTTAAGATTGACATAATCCTTTTGAACTTCCTTTTCTACAAAAGAGCGAATTTGGTCCACTAGGTCCTTCAGTGCAAGACCAAACACCATCCATCTTTTCTTGCTGTCATTAATGTTTCCTAGAGCACTGGTACTGGGGTACAAAAAAAATCAAAAACATGTTATGGCAAGTTGCTTCTCAAACTCATTAATAATTCACGAAGAGAAAACAAAGAAAGTTGTTGCCATAAATTACAGGAGGTTTGCAACAGCTTTTTCTACAAGAATAAGCCATTTGCAGGTTGAAGTCATGTTGACCTCTCTTATGCAAAATTATGTCATGTTTAACAAGTTAAATGATGCAAGAGATGAAAATGAAAAAATTAGCTAGCAGGCCAATTTTAAGAGTAGGATTTCAATCGTGTTCTGATGTTTAAAAAATTATAAGGGTAAAATGGATTTTGCTGGACCGCAAGGTATATGGTACAGCTTTATGTTTTCCATTGATATAAACCATTCATTGTATTTTTCCATAATTCATTAAACCAACATGTAAAAATTGAATTGTTAATAGCAAACCTAAAAATTAGCTGACCCAGCAAATTTTTTTGATTTGCTCATTCCATCTCTGGTATTTTAAATTGCATTCCATAATTTTAGCACAAGAAAGGTCACATGATTCCCAGCTGCAAAGGATCTATTATTTTTTATTTCAGAGCCTGTTCTTTGCCATTTTCAAACACCTCAAAGTTTGTCCACTAAAGTGGGTGTGGCACCTTTGTTAATCCTTAACTTGCCAGGGTATTGATATCAGATCTAATGAACCTTGGTTTTGATACATTACTTCTAGTAGTTATTATTAATAATAATACTAATAATATTTATTCTACACTTGGCTCTGATGCTGAGGGAAATCACACAGTGTATGGAGTTGAAGGGAAGATCAATCACACTAATTCATTCTAGGGATATCTGGCTAAAACAATACCTACTAACAGGTAAAAAAAAAGAAAGAAATCAGAGTGATCTTAATACCTTGAACTTGGTCCTGTTGCTGCTGCAGCTGCCATTGCTAATACACATAGTTTGTTGTTGATTTATTACTACTGACTGTACTTGATGTTTCCTTGTCCACTTTTTGACTGGTTATTGGCATCTAGTCATTTTAAGGAAAAACCTGTCATTATTTCAATTAAATTGCATGTTTTAATAATAATAATAATAATAATAATAATATAATAATAATAGTATGCAATAGTAATACCTCTAAAGTTATTTCATTGGTTAAACATTAAAATAGCTTTCATATACTTTAAAACAAACATGCACACCTGTGTGCTGTTCACAAAACTGTAATATCTTTTTAATGTGCATTTTACTTGAAAATGCCTATAACTCAGCTCAGTTACTATAAAAAAAGTTCAGATGCAGTCGTCCATTGAAGGAATCTTCCTTGAAAGTTACAATGACATGTGCCGAGTTACATAAAATCCAGCATAAGTCTATTCAAGTTGTTGCTGAAGGAATCGGGCTGGAAAACTATTTAATAAGAAATGTAGTGGCTCTTCGCAACTTTCAATGCAATGTTTGTCTAAGAAAAATTAAAACAATTTGCTGTCACCCTTTGAATAATTTCTATCAGGAAGAATTGGATCCAGCAGAGCACACAAAAGAACGCTGGTAGCAGGGAAAGAAGAGCTGAACTTCGAAGAACTGCAAGAAGGCAGCAATTTATTATTAAAAGAAGTTCTTGGCGATTTTATAACCAGCAAGAAGAAGTCCTCAACCAATCGATCGCTTCATCTTCAATTATTTTGCTGTTGATAATGGGGGTCAAACAGCAGATAACAAGCACACAGGAAGCATGATTTTTCCTTTCTTTCTTCTGGCGAGTAAAACCGACTTGAGCCGTTGGGAGATGAAGGGGTGACAAATGGTCTTTGCAATCATTCACGAGCATGCGAGGACTGCGATTTTTTTGCGAGCACGAGCAGTGATAAAAAATTTGCTTTGTGAGCTGCAAGCAGTTTAGAGAATACAACTCACAAGCAGTGAGCACTTCTTATGTTTTCCACTTGCAGCAATCCATATGGAAATCCTTTTCTTTCAAATAAAACAGAAAATATTTTAAAAAGACGATGTGATACTCATCGCTAAGTTCAAAGAGATCAGTGGACCCTTTATTTTGGGAAAGCCTGCACAAAACCTTAAGGGATCGAACTTCGTCTAAAGTAAAAACACACCTGTACGCAAGTGATCAAGAAGATTGTCTAGTTAATATTCAATTACGAGTTCACCACTCAGGTTAAGAGAAACATTTTGTGATTGGAACTGTTTGGAAAGTGCAGTTCACAGACAAAGATTTTCACATCAATTTAAACCGAGAGCTGTACGAAGAATGTCTCGAGTGTACAAGGGGTGGGGTTGAAGAAAGGGACATGACTGATGTGGATGAAGAAGAACTTGAAGAGGAACAACATCCTTGTGTCAGAACAACCTCTTCTGAAAGAATCCTATACTAAAGCTTCCAATTACCGTTTTTATTGAAAACATGGCCTAATTAAAGCCTAGTGAGTAGAGCGGTAGAGAACCTCAGAAGAACTCAACTGGTAACAATATCTTCTCTTTTTAAACATATATACCTAGATTAGCTCATTTATTATTTATCGTTGTCATTTATCACGTGCATTTCCCCTGAACTTGATAGCCATATTTATAAGAATTAAGCACCATACAGAATTACCTTTACTTTAATCCAACGAAAGATCCACAAAATGTCTAGCAATATACTGACAAGAAAGCAAGCATGCGAGCAACTGCAAAATTTGGGGAGCTTGAGCAAGCGAGCAATCATTTAAATTTTGCGAGCAAGTCGAGCAAAGGTAAAATTTTGCGAGCTGTTAAAAATTTTAATGGACCATTCACCACCCCTAGATGGTACTTTTCAGAACCAGTCAGTAAAACCCCATTTACACATGCTTAAAAAATCGCCATGGCACGCCAAATTTTTGGCACCGTGCTGATAATTTCAAGGCACAGTCCTCACAATTTTCGACATGTTAACGTATCAGTCCCACATGAAATGTGGCTCCAGTGCTCAAAATTTTAGGGGCGCCGAGACTACCTCGCGGAGGTAGTCTCCTCACAGGTAAATGAGGCATGGTGCCAAAAATTTGGCGTGCCGTGCCGCGTTTTTTAGCGCGTGTAAATGTGGTTTAAAACTCATCTGCTGACAGGCTTTGTCCTTCATATTGTTCTTAAACTGTTTTTTTCTATTGTCCTTTCAAGCTGAAATTGATGCCTTCTAACGATGAATTCCTGTAGAGAAATCTCATCATGCTTCACTAACAACATATGTTTAGTTACTCAAATGGCGTGATGTTGATTTCAAGTTCAACCAATCAGAAAAAGGTATTAAGTTGAAGATAATTGACATTTAATTAAAACATAAATTTAATCTGACCAATCACTATTTTCACGCTCACAATCTGAGTGTGAAAAATGGAGAAAACAATGGTCTCCTTGCAGGCGTTCCTTTCCTTTCTCCCTCGCGCGCTCAAATCCCACTCCCCCTCGCCTTTTAACGTCTGCCACGCAGGCTAGAGTTGACCTTGTTTTGATACAACCCTTCCTGCTTGATTACATAGATCATGTCGTTCTCATGCTAACTACTACTTTTAAAGCATAATTTCTAGAAGAAAAGGAAAAAGGTTTGTCTCAAAACAAGGTCAGCCTCAGCCTCACGTTCACTCAAAGGCTAGGATACGAAAGCGCACAACAGTAAAATGGTCTATTGATTGGAGTTGCTCTTTGCTAATTATTGTTACACTAGGGATAGTTTAAAGTCGAAATGCATGGTCTCTTCCACATGGTTTGGTAAAAGTTTGTGTAATATGGCTTCCTCAAGTCCGAAAATACCTTGTGGAATGCTTTGTTGCAGTGTTTATAGGCCGCTCAGACTCGATCGTATCGATCGAATCTTTTCGTGTCCTTCATATTTGTATGGTTGTCAATATATGTTATGTAAGCATTTCTAATAAAATACGTACCTTCTTAGCTGCAAAGTGCCCATCGTTAATCTCCAGAATATTTTTTAAGTGTTCGAGCTCAGAAAATCACTCCAAACTGTTGATGATCAAAATAAAAGAACTTCGAAATGGACTAGGAACTTTTCAGCTCCTAAATCTGAAACTGAAAGTTTTCTGGGAATTTTCCCGGATCATTTCCTGGAGCCCAGACCCTTCTCTCCGCTTAGAGGTTTGGTGATCGCGTGACCCCGAGGTGTTATCGCTCTAAATATTAAACGCACCATCACACGAAGAATTATGGCGAACTTTCCGATCTTGCAAGAAATCAAAGGTGAATGGAGATCAACTAAAACAGTGGAAATAATGGGCTTAAGAATTCCGGCG